GTTCAGCAGATGTCTCCTCTCCGAGAGCTGATCTCTACAGGATAGAGCAGAGAGCATGAGGAGAGTTGTGCACTTCCCTGTGGTGGAACTAGATCACCCCGAGACAAAACAACTGTTTTTGGGGGCAAGCAGTTGGTAAATGGTCAGACTAGGAAGATTAGGATCCAGGCTATAATGGTTAGAGATTAAAAAGGTCAAATATATACATCAAGTCCTTCATCCTCTATGGCAAGGTGGACTTTCCCAGCTTCATTAAAAGGTTTATTTTAAAAGGTTTTTAAAAGTTTTAAGGTTTTACATTATACTTGATCTGAGCCTGCAAGAGACCTTAACCAAAAACCTGAAGAACCTTACATTTAAAATAATAAAATAGAAATGCACAAATTTCAACTCCAGCATGGCTTAAGGAGCTTAAGTCTCATTAGAAGTCAGTGGAACTTAGGCTTCAAAGAAATTTAGGAATAAGTTATAAACACTGCAGCCTGGTCTTGAAAGCTAAAACAAAGTTGTCTGATATGCTATTACCTATCCTGAAATGGTCATCAATGTTGCCAGCAAACACAGCTTCATAATCCTCAGGTCTTTTCAGGTTGGGGGGTTTCTCATCTGGATCAGAACCAAACTCTCCTTTGAAGCGCTTCTTGTTACTTACATCTATTTGTTTTTTGTTCCCTGATTCAAGAAGGCTGATGAAAATCTGCACCACCCGTAAGGCTGATTCGCGGAAGGGCACCACTATCAGTACCTGTGTGGACCAGAACAATTATAAAAAGGTTACTTGAAAAAGGGATGTCTTCTCTAGAGGAGGGAGGGATCCACCATGAATAAGCATATTTTTGCACTTCATTTTACGTAGTGCTGCTGCTCGCACTTCCCAACCATTCAATTAAATGTAGGCACCTCCCACAAATAAATTCCAAACCCGGCTACCATGCTTGCCAAATGACTGAACAGACAGGCTTGACCTAGTCTGACCCAAGACTAGGTCAGAAATGTGTTTTAAGGTGCCCTTTCACAGAAATGGGACTACCTGCTAGCTGCCCAAACCCCTTGTTACCAGTTAAGTATAAGCTACTCAGATGGAAAAAGGAAATGTAATACAAAGCAATAAGGGCCACTGATAAATTGTTTTACCAGGGATCGGGGTGGCTGCTTTGGGACAAAAGGTGTTACAAGTTAGCATACACCCCCAGTGCATCATGGAGATGGGGAATCGGAGGATTTACCACCATGGAGATACTTCTGTTCTCCTTGAGCAAGTAAATCCTCCCCCACACACATACACCTGTCATTGAGCTGCTTGGGTTTCCACTTGAGCCTAACTTTAGTTCCTGCAAAAGCTAAGTCACAAAGCACTCAAACTACTTACATATTAAACCTAAATAACATTGGCACAAGGAAAAGCCAAAATGGGGAGTTTTAAAGAGATGCATGGCATATTCCAGAACTCTCATGACAGTTCAACTTTGGACCTTTTAAATGAAGCTCCTTGCAAACTGAACCCATTATCCATCAATCGAGATTATAGATTACTGGCAAGCTCCCTATTAAAAGGACAATTTGACAAGACAGCTAGCACTGAATTAAGCCCCGCTGCCACTGAAAATGAAAAGCAGCTTTGCTTAAGCTTATTGGCTAGATTCACTATGTTCAATATAAAAGACTCCCTGCTGATTCTTAGCTGACACAGTGATAGAGCTATGCAATAAAAGCAAGGGAAATTTGCTACCAAGTTATACCACACCAGATATAACAAGAGCCTGAAGCACAGCATGACTTTCAGTTGCAACAGCCCTGAAGAAGCAGGGGAAGGAACTGGGGACTCATTAAATCTTGGAAGAAGAGCAATGGCTATATGGAGCAGTCCCTACAGGGCACAGGAATGACAAACAATTCTCAGAAGCCGCCTGCACAGATGTTGATCTCCAAAAGCACAGGCAACATCAGTTTTAGAGGTAGACATGAAGGTCCTTACAGTATTGCTAGTGCAGAAGCAGTGGGATCAGAATAAGGAAGAGAAGAGAAATCAAATCTCATGAAGGCACAAGAAAAACTCTTCCAGGTAAACAGCTCTCCATGGAATTAGTTTGACCACAAAACTTTCAAAGTTATCATTTCTCCTAGGCTACTTGCTTGTCAAACAGCTTCAAGACATGTTTAATGGGTCTGGAGAGATAAACCTGGGAGCATATTGACACCTTGGGGATAATGGCAGGAGAAACATCTGTATGGCAGAACAAATCGGACTGCAAAATATTATACTAATTAAGCCCTCTTACCTTTGGTCTAGTGAGCCCTTGATCCCTGAAATCATCACTGTCAGCTCCTGGCTTTTGGTCTCTTCGTTTGGCATTACTGCTGAGAACCTGGGCATTAGCCTTCAGGACATGATTCAGTGCATGTAGGCAGTAAGTCTGACGGATCTCTTCCCCATTCCCTAACGCAGTTCTTTCAGGGTAAAATAAGTCCTTGTACAAATTCATAATACAAAACAGTTCCCTTTGTAACAGTGTGAACAGGGAATCGCTTGGCTTATTTAGCATGGACAGGAGCTGGCAATTCACTTTTGGCCATGTGGAATCCAAAGGCTTGTGAAGATGAAGTTGTTTCAAATCCAGTTCTTTATCTGGCTTAAAAGTTTTCAACTTCTGTGTTATAGAAGAAAACACCAACTGGCCCAGTGTTGGCCACTGGAAGAAAAAGAAATCAAGCGTGTTGTAACCAACCATTTTGCAGTAAATGCCATGTTGCCATCACTGCTACTTTTAATAAGATAACAGATTAAGTTACTTTTTGTTTAAGCCAAAAGTGATGGATAGAGCAAAGATGAAACAGCCAGGTGCAAATTAAATAAAGCTCTAGCTTTTTCTAGCCTCTTGCCATTAAAAGTTACCACAAATCTGGGCTCTTTTGTACTACCATCCAATTTCCCCAATATATCTTGTACATCACTTTACACATCACCTATGCCTTAGTCCACACTTGCTTTGAGCCCTTCTACAACAAGAACAACAAAATCACAGTCTAGTGTTAGGCCCGCTCTACACATCACAGGTTTCCTTCGCTTTATGCTGTACATGCGTTCCTGGACAATGCTGTATAACTCAAATTTGCACAAAGAGAACCCACTTTACAATGTAACAAATAGGGATACGTTCCAAGACTGACTGTACTGACCCACCGACCCATTTCTAACACTTTTACAAGATAATTTTGGTACTCAACAACAGTAGACAGTACACACAAGCACAGGTTTAGAGATGTGAAGGCTGGGGGAAAAAAAAAACCCAGAAAAATTTGGGAAAAAGATTCCTCCCCACACCCCACCCCAAGGGCTTGCTTTTTTTTCTGAAAAATTGAAAGTGTTTTGAAAAATTAAAAAAAACCCAACCTCTTACAAAATATTTTCTTTAAGAATGATAAATGGAATGTTTAAGACAAGGTGTTCATACATTGCTACTCTTTTATGTTTTCTAAAAACTATGTAATAGGAAGACTTTTATGTAAGACTATCTACTACAGTCATTACAATTCCTGTACACCAAGGACAACCAGTACAGTACAACTCTCAAATGCAAGAGCAAGATGCATTTCTGCCCCTAGGGGGGCACTGCCATTTTCACAAGAGAAGGAAGGATTCAGTGCCTTCTTTGCTTGTGGACTTCTTCTATTGTTGACTTTTGATCTAGAGGTTGGTGGATCTGCTCCTATCCTCCTGCCTAGGCCTCAAAGGACTGGGAGTGGACACTGGCGTCTATTCATTCCTGTACAGATTAGAAACAAGCAGCTTATTGCTGTTGTTGCTCAAAAGCCTCAGGAAAGGAGACAGAGCAAGTCTAAAGATTTTGGAGTTGGAAGGAACCTGCCTCCTCTTGACCCTGTGACCTCAAGATCCACAGAAGTACAGAAGCAGCACAAAGGAGCTGAAAGAAAGTATACTTCTTTATTGGAGGGTAAGAGTTTAAATTTCTCTGAATTCGGTATATTAAACCATATTTTAGCTTCATTAGTATATTTTCATAACCTATGTAATTCATAATTGAATTCCTTCTAATCTGATGTTTTGTATCAAATCACTCAACCTTAGCAGTGAGGTGACGCCTGCAGGGCGGGGAAGTTGTTCACAGCTAACTCTGAGGAGGTCTCTCCTCCACCCACTACTAAATTTGTACATGCTGTAGCTTAGTGTTTATATATGCAAGCTAGCCGCTAAATTACATTTTTCTTTTTTCTCCCTCAATAAAATGGTGCGACTAACTTCTAGCATATGGAAGCATTTCCACACTGCAAGTTATTCTGAGAAGAAAAAAAAGGTGATTTGCAAATACTGTCAAATGAAAGATGCATTTCCAAATGCTACTAGGATGACCAAATACATCCTTGTATGTAAAAAGTGTCCTGCAGACATTAAAAAAATCCTTCATGGGTGTAAGTGAGGAGGAGGTAGATCATGATGATGAAAGCGCAAGTAGCTCTTTCCAATGTGCTCGATCCAGAAGTTCTCCTACTGCTGTTTCTTCTATACCATCAGCATCACAAAGGGTTGCCCAAGCAACACCCTCAAGTAACCAAATATTGCAACCAACTGTATGCAAAAGACTCTCAGTAGCTTCATTTCTAAAAATCCGAGGGGAGGGGGCGAGGGGGAAGGAATCGACCAAGCTCTTGCAAGAGCAATATATTCTTCTGGGACACCATTGTCAATAACTGAAAATACATAAAATACATACTAGCAGGAAGCTTTTAAATTACTAAGACCACCATGCCATTTGCCCAGCAGACATTCTTTGAGCAAGCCTCTTTTAGAGTCAGAATATGAACATGTAATGCAACCTGTGCAAGGAAAAGTCAGTGAAGCACTGTACGTACAGATGGATGGACAAACGTGTGGGGAGAAGAAATCATAAACTTTGTGATAACAACATCTCAACCAGTTTTTTACAGAAGCATTGAAACAGGAGAGAATAGGCAGAGTATATCAGTAGTAAAATATGTGAAGTCCTACAAAAGATTGGGAGTGGTAAAGTATTTGCTTTGCTGACTGACAATGAAAGTAACATTAAAGTCACGGTCTCCCTCCAGGACAAGGGAGGACTCCAGGACCTCCCACTCTGTCCAGTCAGGGGGATGGACCAAGATGGTTAAGGGCCCTAAGGCCTGCTGCACCAAGGTCCCTGCCCCGCTGGAGCTCAGCAACAGGTACAAACCTCTTGCAGCCCCAGCAGAGCCTGCTGAGTTGCCAGCTTCCGCAGGCAACACAGGCTCAACTGCAGCTACCGCCCCCGCTCTCCCCAAGACAAAACTCAAAGCGTTAGTTGTGGGAGACTCCATCCTGAGGGGGACTGAGGGGGTAACCTGCCACCTCAACCCCTTAGCCCGGGAAGTCTGCTGCTTCCCGGGGGCCCGCATCCGAGACACTGAGGAGAAGATCCCAGAGCTCCTCCAGCCCACAGACCACTATCCCATGCTCCTTATTCATGTGGGCACCAATGACACGGCTCGGAGCACTCCCAGTCGGGTCATGAGGCGCTACAGGGATTTGGGAGCGGGGCTAAAGGGCCTGGGAGCACAGGTGGTGTTTTCTTTGATTCTCCCAGCCTTGGGGTATGGGCTGAGGAGGGAGAGGAGGATCCAGGTAGTGAACTAAAGACTGCAGCACTGGTGTCATCGGGAAGGCTTTGGCTTCCATGACCACAGCCCGCTCTTTGGCGAGAGAGGCAGTGAGCTGCTGGGAAGGAACGGCCTCCATCTCTCTTCACTGGGGAGGAGGGCTCTTCTCAGCCAGACTGGCTGACCTGCTTCACCAGGCTTTAAACTAAGCCCACTGGGGGACGGGGGCACTACCACCCCTGCTGGCCCGCTGAGCAACCCTTGCAAAGCCAGCAGGCCAAGGCACTTAAGGGAGCCCACCCCTGCTCTAGCCCTGGTACAATCTGTAGGCAAGGCAAGAGCCCCCCAGGGGACACTTGCCTGCCTGTACACAAATGCCAGGAGCTTGGGGAATAAGCAGGAGGAACTCGTCCTCCTGCTTAAAAAAAAAAAGAATTACGACGTCATAGGGATAATGGAGACCTGGTGGGACTCCACCCATGACTGGTATATCTTTGAAAACTTCTGGCGCTCTGGTAAAGTGCCTAAAGACTGGAAGAAGGCCAATGTGGTACCTATCTTCAAGAAAGGGAGGAAAGTGGATCCAGCAAACTACAGGCCCATCAGCCTGACCTCTATCCCAGGGAAGGTCTTAGAAAAGTTTATTAAAGAGGCCATCCTTAAGGGACTGGCC